ATAGATGTGGGCAAAACATCAGGAGAGAATGCTTCTGGAACATGGCCAGACAGCCTGGAAAACTCACAGCAACCCATCGATTCCAGGCATGAAAGCCTTCCACAACATTGGGTGTTTCCAGAACGAATGTGCTTAAAGCAAGTAGTCAAACAAGGAACAAACTAATCAGATTAAGAGGGGCACGAGAGCCATGCTCAAATACTTGGGGTATTTGTGCCAAATTTGGTCCAGTGAATGAAAATACATCCTTCACATCAGACATTACGATTCATAACAGTAGCAAACTAACAGTTATGAAGTAGCAGTGAAAATAATGTTATGGTTGGGGGTCACCACAACATTAAGGAGTTGCCGCATTAGGAAGGTTGAGAAGCGCTGCTTTAATCAAACCACTCCGGTCAACCCTCCTGTTTAAGGAGCTCCACTGGCTGCCGTTCATTTTCCAGTCCCAATTCAAGGTGTAGGTTACCTACAAAGCCCTGAACGGTTTGGGACCCGCCTACCTGAGTGACCGCATTTCTGTGTACGAACCCACACGATCTCTTCGATCATCTGGAGAGGCCTGCTTGCGCTCCCACCTCCGCAGGTGTGATTGGTGGGGACGATGGAGAGGGCCTTCTCGGTGGTGGCCCCCTGACTCTGGAACTCACTTCCCAAGGACATCGGACATGCCCCAACTCTGGCAGTCTTTAGGAGGAGCCTGAAAACGTGGTTGTTCCAGTGTGCCTTCCCAGAATAAGGAAAACTCAGCAATATGCCCTCAAAATGAACTTTACCACTGATTTAGGTTTGACTGTGTTCCCTCATCTTTCCTTGAAAGCCCTATACCAGTCATATCCTACCTTGTTCATTTCCAGCATTATTTTTTAAATACTAAACTATTACATTTGGCCTGGCCATAGGTTTTTAAATGCTGGTGTTACTGTTTATTGTTTACTAGCTGTACCCGCCACACGTTGCTGTGGCCAACCTTCTCTCCCTCCTTCTCTCCTTCTTTCCCTCCTTCCTTCGTTCCCTCTTTCCTCCCTCCCTCCCCTTTTCTTCTTTCCTTCTCTCCTTCCTTCCTTCTCTGCCTCTTTTCTTCCTTCCCCCTTTTCCTTCCTCTTCTTCCTTCTCTATCTCCTTCCTTCCTTCCTTCCTTCCTTCCTTCCTCTTTGCTTTCTTCCCTTCCTTCTCTCCTTCTTTCCCTCCTTTTCCTTCTTTCCCTCTTCCTCTTTTTTCTTTCCTTCTCTCCTTCCTTCCTTCTCTACCTCTTTCCTTCCTTCCCCCTTTTCTTTTCCTTCCTCTTTCTCTCTTTTCTTCCTTCTCTATCTCTTTCCTTCCTTGTTGCTTCCATGCTTCCTTCTCTCCTTTGTTCCCTCTTTCCTTCCATCCCTTTTTTCTTTCCTTCCTTCACTCCTTCTTTCCTTCCTTCCCTCTTTTTCTTTTCCTTCTACTTTCTCTCCTTTCTTCCTTCTCTACCTCTTTCCTTCCTTCCTTTGCTCTTTGCTTCCATGCTTCTTTCTCTCTTTCCTTCTTTCTTTCCCTCCCTCTCTTTTTCTTTCTGTCTGTCTGTCTGTCTTTCTTTTCTTTCTCCCCTTCCTTCTCTCCCTCTTCCCTTTTTCTGTATTGTCATTTAGCTTTTCGACATTTAGATTTTTTTGGAGATTTTAAGTCCTTTTTGCTATTTTTCGGGTTTTTTTTATGAGTGATGGTCACTCATTGGTCTGTTAGGGGTGTAGTGTCCAAATTTCGTGTCAATTCGTCCAGTGGTTTTTGAGTTCTGTTAATCCTACAAACGAACATTACATCTTTATTTATATAGATTGTTATATGATTTATATGAATTGTATTGTATTGATTGTTTTCATTATTGCTTTTGTTATTGTTGTACTGTGGGCTTGGCCTCATGTAAGCCGCACCGAGTCCCTTGGGGAAATGGTAAAAAGGTAAAGGTAGTCCCCTGACATTAAGTCCAGTCATGTCTGACTCTGGGGTGTGGTGCTCATCTCCATTTCTAAGCCAAAGAGCCAGCGTTGTCCGTAGACACCTCCAAGGTCATGTGGCCAGCATGACTGCATGGAGCACCGTTACCTTCCCGCCGGAGCAGTACCTATTGCTCTACTCACATTTGCATGTTTTCGAACTGCTAGGTTGGCAGAAGCTAGGGCTGACAGCGGAAGCTCACGCTGCTCCCTGGAATCGAACCTGCAACCTTTCGATCAACAAGCTCAGCAGCTCAGTGCTTTAACCCACTGCGCCACCGGGGGCTCCTTTGGGGAGATGGTAGTGGGGTATAAATAAAGATTATTATTATTTTGCTGGTACAGCTGTACCAGGAGCTCCTATTTTGTTTGCTTTGCAGTTAATGTTTGTTTGCAATCCCAGGCTTGGGATTTTGCAGCAGGGTGGCTTCCTGTTATAGGCTGCAATCATAGGGTAAGCCACCTGCCAATTATAGTTAGGATCCCTGGTCCCGCCCCCTTTTTTGCTTTTTGGAGGGAAAGGGCCATTTTTTAGTTAGTTACAGCAAGAGAAGCCAAGGCAGAGGATGCATACAGACATTCCTCCTGTGCAAAAGCTTTGTCTTTTAAGAGTTCCTGGGGAAGAACAGATTAAAGGCCTCTACGGATTCCCAAAGGGTTCCAGGGAACAGCTTCACAGCCCTGAGGACCTCCGGAGGGAATAACAGCTCTTCATCTTCAGCTAAGTGATTTCAAGCCTGATGGTACGTCTGTTTCGGTTCTGAGACGCAGTTCAGCCGGTAGCAGACTCAAACCAGTTAGGTTTAAGTTCACAGCAGCTTGGGAGGAGCTTTAAAGGGGAATTTTTCTGTTAAAGTTTTCTTGAAGATAGTGCCTGTTTCCTGCAAACAAGACTGCAAAGCCAATAGACTATTTAGAAATTTTACAATTCCTGCTTGTTCATTAATAAAGACTGTTGTATTTAAGCTCCAAGTCTCCTAAAGCCTGCTTAATAGGGAAAGTTCCTCTAAAGGCTCCTTCTCGGGCCCCCGGGCTTCCTGCTGGACGCTAGCCTTGCATCCTCTCTTAAAGCATTTAATTTTAGCTCCAGCGGCGACAGAACAATTATTATTATTATTATTATTATTATTATTATTATTATTATTATTATTAGTAGTAGTAGTAGTAGTAGTAGTACATTGGGTGTTTCCAGAACGAATGTGCTTAAAGCAAGTAGTCAAACAAGGAACAAACCAAGCAGATTAAGAGGGGCACGAGAGCCAAAAAAGAAATGAATATACAAATAGAGGAGTGGTATAAGGAAGCATGGAAAATAGCAATAAATGATAAATTGACATGTATATTAAAGGTTAAAAAAGGTATATGGAAACAAAGCGATTTTGATGCTGTTTGGGGATTCTCAACTTCTCTAATGCCGTGACCCCTTAATACAGTTCCTCATGTTGTGGTGACCCTCAACCATAACATTATTTTCATTGCTACTTCATAACTGTAATTTTGCTCCTGTTATGAATCGTAATGTAAATATCTGACGTGCAGGATGTATTTTCATTCACTGGACCAAATTTGGCACAAATGATATGCCCAAATTTCAATACTGGTGGGGCTGGGGGGATTGATTTTGTCATTTGGGAGTTGTAGTTGCTGAGATTTATAGTTAAACTACAATCAAAGAGAACTCCGCCATCTATGGAACTGAACCAAATTTGGCACACAAAACTCCTATGACCAAGAGAAGATATTGGAAGGGTTTGGTGGGCATTGATTTCAGTTTTAGAGTTGTAGTTCACCTACTTCCAGAGAGCACTGTGGACTCAAACATTAATGGATCTGGACCAAACTTGGCATGAATACTCAATACGCCCAAAGTTTGGGAAAAATAGACCTTGGCATTTGGGAGTTGAAGTTGCTGGGATTTATAGTTAATCTGCAATCAAAGAGCATTCTGAATCCACCCCATAAGGGATCTGTACTAAACTCGACATACTACCTACATGGCCAACATTGATTACTAGTGGGGTCGGGGAAGGGCTGTTTTTGAATTCTGGGAGTTGTAGTTCACCAACACCAAAAAGAAAGAGAAGGACAGGCAGAGAGATATTCTGCCTTCTCTGCCAAAAGGGTTCCTAAGACCATCAGAAATGTGTGTTTTCTGATGGTCTTTGGCGACCCCCCTGAAACCCTCTCGCGACCCCCTCGGGGGTCCCGACCCCCAGGTTGAGAAACACTGCCCTAGTGGGGAAGACTTTTGGTAAATGGATTAAAAAATAAGGAAGGAAAATTACCATCACAAGAAGAAATGAAATTTTGGACAGATGAAATGTAAGAATTGTGGCTTGAGACGGGTGGATGTACAAAATGCAATAGTATGTAATAAATGTGATAAATCAATAAAAAATTACTAAAAAAAAAAAAAAAAAGAGGGATTCGAGAGCCATGCTCAAATACTTGTGCCAAATTTGGTCCAGTGAATGAAAATACATCCTTCACATCAGACATTACGATTCATAGCAGTAGCAAAACGACAGTTATGAAGTAGCAGTGAAAATAATGTTATGGTTGCCGCATTAGGAAGGTTGAGAAGCGCTGTTTTAATCGAACCATTCCTCCTTATGCTACACATCTGTGTGGCCCTGGGAGCAGCCATGAAGGCCCATTCCACTGGGAGGCACTCTGGGTCAACAAACGAGACCTAGGCCTATGGGGGAAACTACAGGTCCCAGGAACCTTTGCAAAGAAAACTAACAAGCAGATGCACAGGCTTTAAAGCTCTCCAGTGCTCAATGTGGGTTGGTCGGTTTGGAAGGTGCAAGAGGCTGCTTGGGGCCTGCGATTGGCTCTTCCTGGGCTCACAAAGGCTTGGAGGCGGGGAGGCAGCAGAGGATCACTTGTCTCCATTGTGCGCGCAAAGGCTGGCAGGTGAAGAAAGCTTGGGACCACAGCACTCTTTTTTCCCAATTGACTGGATCTCACTTTTGCCTGTGCATTTTTCCTCGCAGTGCAAGGAGGAACTGAAGGTGCCACGGAAAAGATCAAAAGCATCCGCCGCAAGTGGTTCCAAGCTCTGAGTTTGAGCACAAAGTTTGCCCAAAAGCTGAGCAAGCAAACTGGGGTCTGTTTTGGCCCACTCTTTGTTGGTGGGAATCAAAAAACTCCAGGTTCTGGCCAGGAGAAGAGCATCCTTCATAGCCGAGCCACATCTGGAGCAGGTCAGGCTCTTTGGGCTTCGGGAAGCCAGATGTAAAGGCGGGAAGAAGCTCCTGCAAGATGCACTCTGGCTCTTCCTCTCCAAGAAGGTGAAGCTGGTCCAGATCCATCATCAGGTGAGGTCTCCTGGTATGGGTACCAAATTTGACCTCTTGTAATTGATTGACTTTGGGAGTGTCTTTGTCGGTTTCCTCCCATTCATAGGGGGAACTTTTTAAAAACCGAGCTTGAAAACATTGTGCAAAGCAAGGCTGACCCACAAACACGGCATCACCGATCCATTGCAAGTTGTCCCAAAAGTTGCCCTACATGGGGAAATGGGAAATTGTAGCTACATGCACGTTCGATTGCAATGTATTCATGATAAAATATTTATAAAGTTTTCATTGTAAAATATTTGCAAAATATTTGCAAAATATTTGCAAATGATTGCAAGTGTTTGCAAATTGTTTGCAAAATATAATAATAATAATAATAATAATAATAATAATAATAATAATAAAATATAATAATAAAATAAAACTTTATTTGTACCCCGCTACCATCTCCTCAAGGGACTCAGTGCGGCTTACATGAAGCCAAGCCTGCAGTACATCAATAAAACAAAGGCAATAACAAAATAATCAATACAAAACAGTCAAATAAATCTCAAAATTTTTGCAATTTTTGATTTTTGATATTGCTGTTTTTAAATTGTTTTAAATTGTTTTTAAATTGTGTTAGATTTTAGCCGTTCTTGTAAGCCGCTCCGAGCCCCAGGGGAGTGGCGACATATAAGTTCGAATAATAAATACATTTAAAAAACAAAAATAAACAATAAACAATAACAATAACATACAGGCATTTAAAAACCTATGGCCGGGCCAAATGTAATAATTTAAAATTATTAAAATATATGCAAAATGTTTGCAAAATGTCTCCACAAAATTGCAATTTGCAAAATGTTTGAAAAAACTTTGAAAAATATTTGCAAAATGTTTGAAAAAGTCTGCAAAATGTTTAAAAATATTTGCAAGTGTTTGCAAATTGTTTGCAAAATATTTGCAAAAATCCTTCCTCTGTGTTGACCACTACTTTCTAGACATGCACAAAGTCTTTCTCCCCAATTATAAAATTGCTCAATACAGTTGGAAGGGAACTCCAAATGCCATCTAGTCCAACCCATTTCTGCCAGGCAGGAAGGCACAATTCAATCCCTCCCGACAGATGGCCATTCAGCCACTGTTTAAAACTTTACAGTACATTTGTTATCCCCTCCTCCTGATATAATGAGACTTTGGGGGTAGAGGCAAACATCAGCTAAAGAACATTTTTTTAAAAATTACTTTAAAGGCACCTAATCACATCAGATCTTGGAAACTAAGCAGGGTCGATAATAGTTAGTATTTATTTATTTAGATTTTCTGGTGGGGTCCTGCTCTAAGTCCCGCCACTTTCGCAATCGTGTCTGGTGGGAACGGGAGACAGGGCCTTTTCTGTGGTGGCCCCTCAGCTATGGAACTCTCTCCCGATTGAGATCAGATCTGCCCCCTCCCTCCTGTCCTTCGGGAGGCTAGTGAAATCCTGGCTGTGGAATGAAGCATTCCCAGAATAATGGCTGAGACCGGCTACAGAACAAAGTTATCGACCACACATACGGACTGAGTTGGACATGATTTTATCTTATATGTCATTTATTCTATATGTATTTTAACCTTTTGTTGTTGTATGCTGTTTTAAGACTGTATTATTAGCATTGAATCCTTGCTGTGAGCCGGTCTGTGTCCCTCTACGGAGGTAGAGAAGATCTATTTTATTTTAAACATGTATATTTCGCCCTTCTCACCCTGTCTAGCCGGATTTCCTTTAGCTGTATCTGCATTGGAGGGTTCAAAGTAATCAGACTTTGTACTGTAGGGATCATCCCTGATCTAGCCTCACATTCCATGTTGTAAAACTGTTGTTACAAAGATGACACTATTTGTCTGGGTTTTAACTCCACTGTTGGTCTATAATTGAATGTTTCCTCAGTTCAAATCTGCTTGTTTTTCTTTGCTGGCTTTCCATTGAGGGGCAGCGGATGAGCCCGGGCAAGTTGTAGCTTTCCCCGGAACTCATCCCTGAGTGGGTTTGGCAAACATTTGTAGACTGGCTGAGCATCCAAAACTTTTACAACCTTTCAGGCCGGAGAGAAACGAGGTTAAAGTGACGGACAGAGATAAACAAAGGAGAGATTAAGGGAGTGAAAGTGGGAAAGGAGAGTTTGGAAAATAGAAACTGATGCTGGCTTTCCTTGCTTTGGACGGAGACGGTGACAATTTGTTGCTCGGCATCCGCGAGTCGCTTGACCTTTATTACTTTTTGTCTCCTTGTTGGTTCGTTCTGATCAGGGGTCCTCAAACTATGGCCCGGGGGCCGGATGCGGCTCTCCAAGGTCATTTACCCGGCCCTCGCTCAGGGTCAACCTAAGTCTGAAACGACTTGAAAGCACACAACAACAACAATCTATCTCATCAGCCAAAAGCAGGCCCACACTTCCCATTGAAATACTAATAATTTTATATTTGTTGAAATTGTTCTTCATTTTAATTATTGTATTGTTTTTAAGTGTTTTTGCACTACAAAAAGATATGTGGAGTGTGCATAGGAATTCATTCATGTTTTTTTTCTTCAAATCATAATCCAGCCCTCTGTTTAAAATGTTTGAGGACCCCTGGTTCTGATCCATACTTGTAAACATACATTGTTTTTGCAATCGTAAGAACAAAACAACCGCTAAAATTAACGATTTGAATGCCATGATAATATCGTTGAATTAATACATGATGTATTTATACATTGCAAGGGATTGAGTTTATATATCTGTCGAATTAATGGCATCCTAAAGTTGAAAGGGAACCCCAGGGGCCAGAGGCAGCCCTAGGTAATTTTCAATGGTAAGCAAACAGGATGCCCCCCCCCCCCCCCCAACCAATCACTGATATATATTTTCTGTTCGTCGTGGGAGTTCTGTGTGCCATATTTGGTTCAATTCCATCATGGTGGAGTTCAGAATGCTCTTTGATTTAATGTATTGTCGAAGGCTTTCATGGCCAGAATCACTAGGTTCTTGTGGGTTTTTTTGGGCTATAGGGCCATGTTCTAGAGGCATTTCTCCTGACGTTTCGCCTGCATCTATGGCAAGCATCCTCAGAGGTAGTGAGGTCTGTTGGAATTAGGAAAAATGGGTTTATATATCTGTGGAATGTCTGGGGTGGGGCAAAGAGCTCTTCTCTGTTGGAGCTAGGTGTGAATGTTTCAACTGACCACCTTGATTAGCATACAATGGCCTGGCAGTGCCTGGAGCAAATCTTTTGTTGAGAGGTGATTAGATGTCCTTGTTTGTTTCCTCTCTGTTGTTGTGCTGTTGTAATTTTAGAGTTTTTTAAATACTGGTAGCCAGATTTTGTTCATTTTCATGGTTTCCTCCTTTCTGTTGAAATTGTCCACATGCTTGTGGATTTCAATGGCTTCTCTGTGTAGTCTGACATGGTGGTTGTTGGTGTGGTCCAGCATTTCTGTGTTCTCAAATAACATGCTGTGTCCAGGCTGGTTCATCAGGTGCTCTGCTATGGCTGACTTCTCTGGTTGAAGTAGTCTGCAGTGCCTTTCATGTTCCCTGATTCGTGTTTGGGCAATGCTGCGTTTGGTGGTCCCTATGTAGACTTGTCCACAGCTGCATGGTACACGGTAGACTCCTGCAGAGGTGAGAGGATCCCTCTTGTCCTTTGCTGAACGTAGCATTTGTTGGATTTTCTTGGTGGGTCTGTAGATCGTTTGTATGTTGTGTTTCCTCATCAGCTTCCCTATGCGGTCAGTGGTTCCTTGATGTATGGCAAGAACACTTTTCCTCTGGGTGGATCTTTGTCTTGACTCTCGTGGCTGGTTCTGGTCTTCAAATGCTAATGAAGGTGGTCAGTTGAAACATTCACCCCCTAGCTCCAGCAGACAAGCGTCCTTTGTCCCACATTGGTCATTCCACAGATATATAAACCCCCTTTTCCTAGTTCCAACAGACCTCACTACCTCTGAGGATGCTTGCCATAGATGCAGGCGAAACGTCAGGAGAAATGCCTCCAGAACATGGCCATATAGCCCGAAAAAAACCCACAAGAACCTAATGCTCTTTGATTGTAGGTGAACTATACATCCCAGTAACTACAACTCGCATATGTCAAGGTCTATTTTCCCCCAAGATCAGGTGCTGGGCAAAATCAACTATACTGCAAATGCTTACTTTGCGTAATGTGTTGAGCCGCCTCTGCTTGTAAACATACATTGTTTTGCGATCGTAATAACAAAACAACCACTATAATTAACGATTTGAATGCCATGATAATATTGTTGAATTAATACATGATGTATTCGTACATTGCAAGGGACTGGGTTTATATATCTGTGGAATAATGTCCAGGATGGGAGAAAGAACTCGTGTCTGTTGGAGGCAAGTGTGAATGTTGCCGTTGGCCAGCTTGATTAGCATTGAATGGCCTTGAAGCTTCAAAGCCTGGTGCTTCCTGTCTGGGAGAATCATTTGTTGGGAAGTGTTAGGACATAAACCCCACTTGTCTAGTTTCCAACAGAGAAGCAGGAAGCAGCCAGGCTTGGAAGCTGCAAGGCCATTCAGTGCTGATCAAGCTGGCCCTTGTGGTCTCTCCCAGCTCTTTGATATTCTGCAAATGGAGTGCCTTATAAACATATGCAATTAATAGCAAGGAAAGCATCTTTTAAATCGGGGGTCCTCAAACTAAGGCCCAGGGGCCGGATATGGCCCTCCAAGGTCATTTACCTGGCCCTCGCTCAGGGTCAACCTAAGTCTGCAATGACTTGAAAGCACACAACAACAACAACAACAACAACAACAACAACAATCCTATCTCACCAGCCAAAAGCAGGAGCACACTTACCATTGAAATACTAATAAGTTTGCTAAAATTGTTCTTCATTTTAATTATTGTATTGTTTTTAAGTGTTTTTGCACTACAAATAAGATATGTGCAGTGTGCATAGGAATTCATTTTTTTTTTTCAAATTATAATCCAGCCCTCCCAACAGTTTGAGGGACTGTGACCTGGCCCTCTGTTTAAAAAGTTTAAGG